TCTCCCCACTACTTATTAATCCTTGTGTTATTTTGTATCTCTCTAACACGTGGAAAGCGATTATTTTTCAATGAAAATTAGCAACACTGCAAAAAAATAAATCCCACCTCGAATTCCATCTTTCCACCAATCAGCGGCTTCTATTCAATTGTCATGTCAAAATGCGACCTGCAGGTATTTTATGACAATTTCCATTTGTCAATCAGTGCGCAGTGAGTGTATCCGCATCTTTTTCTAAAACTATGTAAAATATAAGGATAAAGTTACACTTTTGTAGCACTGATTCTGGTTTCATTTTCAGAGTTGCCAAGTATGCGATAGTAAAATGGGGGCGGAGTTAGCGGAATCATTTGAATCCCTACTCCAAGCCGCTCTCACAGCTCACCCCCCCTGGCCCATAAACATGTAGTCAACCAAAACAAAGCTATTTTATCAATGGGATGTTCTGTCTATCTGTGTTAATAGGTCATTGATAATATCCTATACCTAACTTAAACAGTTTTCAAGAAAATCGTGATTGAAAATGTCAAAAAATAATTTCTATTTTAGTTTTGACAGCAAACAATGGATAGTAGGATGGAACTTTTTCGATATTTTTGACTCATTTTAGAAGCACTAAAGGGTCCCACCACAAAAATATCAGTTCCGGTTCAATCGAAGGTTTTCGGTCGGTCTACTTTTGAGGTTATGTTACTGCAATAATTTCAATGGTATACCTTACTTAGAACTACAAATTCGTATTCTAAGAACAATTTTGAATCTTTTTTGTATACGCTTTCCTATACCTAAAGTCTACTGTTTTTGAGATATTTGACACTTGATGTAAGGATGTCTTCGGAACAACGAATACCAAAAACAGTATTAACAGCATTAATTTTAATCCTTTTTATAAGTTTATTTAAATAGATCACACAGAATGCAGTTTAAAAGATAAGTCTCATTTGTTGTGTTCCTTGAATCCCGATTTGCACTGTTACCCAAAGGTCGCAAATAGTCCAAAAAGTTAGGGACGCAAACGTGAACAATACTGACGGCGGCCATGCTAACCCAAAATTATCCAACTATTGCCATTTCTTTTAACGTGAGCGTAAACGAAAATCGTGTGGTAGAAAATAATAAGCGGCCATGAATCTTCAATGTTGAGAGAATGACAGGCTTTTGTCCTTTTTTGATGAGACGTCATCATATTTCAGTGTTCAGCAATTACCTAACTTTTATTAGGGTTTTAAACAGTCTTTCGCATAGTTGAGGTTCAGTAGTTTTCAGTAGTGTTCAGTAGTTTTAGTAGGTCTTAGTGGTTTTCGTTGTTCTCAGTAGTTTTTGTTATTATCAGTAGGTATAGTTTTTGTGGTTCTCAGTAGTTCTTAGTAAATTTCCCTTGTTAAAAATGCCAGTGTTTAGTCGAGAGCATCAAATTGATATGCTATTAGTGTATGGGGAAGCAAGAAAGAATAGAAGGGAAGCAAAAGCTTTATACTTCCAACGGTACCCAGATCGTCCACACCATGCGACAGATATTTTCCTTGGCTAGAACAACATTTGAAAGAGGAAAGAAATCAAGAAGTAGCCGGTACGTTTATTGTTGACGAGGAGGCAGAGATCAACACTTTGGCATGCATTGAGGTTGATCCTACAACTTCAGTGCGACAAATTGCCTCTGAAATAGGAATTGGACGAGAAAGCGTGAGGAAAATCCTGGAAAAACATAAATTTAAACCCTTCAAATACCAAATACACCACCATCTGTACGAAGCAGACCATCAACGGAGATTGGACTTTTGTAATTGGTATTTGAATATAAGGTGGCAAATACCAAATTTCCGCCGACTGATCCTTTTTTCCGATGAATCTCGCTTCACTAATTTGGGATTGTTCAATAGAAACAACACCAGATATTGGGCAAAGGAAAATCCTCACCTTTTTCGTGAAGGAGCTTTTCAGGAGAGATTTGGCGTGAATGTCTGGATGGGAGTCTTGGGAACACGGATTGTTGGACCAATTTTTTTTGATGGGCCTCTTACTGCTGACCGCTATTTCATTTTTTTGAATAATGAAATAGCGCAATTTCTGGAAAATCTTCCCTTGAACCAATATCTAAATACTTATTTCCAGCAAGATGGTGCTCCAGCACATAACGCTCGCAGGGTTGTGGATCACCTAAACCAGACGTTTGGAAATTGCTGGATCGGTACAAATGGACCGGTTAGGTGGCCTGCAAGATCCTGTGATATAACTTCTTTGGACTTTTTTTATTGGGGTCACATAAAATAATCAGTTTATAGAACACAACCAGTTGATTTGGCAGACTTACGAAATAAAATCCAATTAGCGATAGACGCCATAAGTCCAGCTCAAATGCAAGAAGTCCTGAATGAATTTGAAAACAGGATCAATTTATGTCGAGAAATGAATGGTGAACATTTTGAGCATTTAAATTACGGTTAGATAGTGAAGTACAGGGTGTTTCAAATTCAAGCTACGTCATTGGGATCTCGGAAACGGAAGTTTTCAAATTCTAAAGTACCATTTCATTGAGCATCAAAATGCGGAACTTTGCCCCAATTAAACCGATCCTGGGAGCGGATTTCGTGCACTGTTGAATTCCATAGCGACATGTCGCTTGCCCAGTTTCAAGATAGCAAGCGACATGTCGCTATGGAATTTACCAGTGCAAGGAATCCGCCGGCTGTATCTCTCACTGTTTCCGAGATCTCAATGATGTGGCTCAAATTTGAAACATCCTGTACACAAGTATTGCTTTATTTTCAATTTGTTATTTAAAATAATTTGCCTGTGTAGCTGATTTTCATTTGGTTATTGCCGGATATGTAGGAAGCAAATTGCACACGAATCGTGTGATTTTGTTTGTTGTATTTGTAATGTAACCGTGCAAATCGGGATTCAAGGAACACAACAAATGAGACTTATTTTTTAACCTGCATTCTGTGTGATTGCAGCTGTCTATTTGAATAAATTTATAAAAAGGATTAAAATTAATGCTATACTGTTTTTGGTATTCGTTGTTCCGAAGACATCCTTACATCAAGTGTCAAATATCTCAAAAACAGTAGACTTTAGGTATAGGAAAGCGTACACAAAAAAGATTCAAAATTGTTCTTAGAATACGAATTTTCAGTTCTAAGTATGGGATACCATTGAAATTATTGCAGTAACATAACCTCAAAAGTAGACCGACCGAAAACCTTCGATTGAACCGGAACTGATATTTTTGTGGTGGGACCCTTTAGTGCTTCTAAAATGAGTCAAAAATATCGTAAAAGTTCCAACCTACTATCCATTGTTTGCTGTCAAAACTAATATAGAAATTATTTTTTGACATTTTCAATCACGATTTTCTTGAAAACTGTTTAAGTTAGGTATAGGATATTATACATAAAATGTGCTTAGAATTTCTCATAGAATCCAAAAATGTAATAATATAGGGGGTGATCTAGTTGAAATAAAGAAGTTGATGGCACTTGCGGTCAAACCAAAAGCGATAGTCGATTGTTTTTATAGCGAAATTCTGCATCGATATCAATAATATACATCTTCAAAACTTGAAATCGATATTGATATTCATGCCTGAACTAGAGCTTGGTCAGTGATCTCGTGGTCACCCGGTATTATATCACAAGAGCTTTAAATTTAATCGATTAAACTATCCAACATATTTTGAGCATGATTTTGCTTGGAAAATAGTTGAATGCACAATAACTTAATAAAAGCCCGAGACCGCGAAGCGGTCGAGAGCTTTTATTTAAAAGTTATTGTGCATGAAACTATTTGCCAAAAAGCAAAATTATTCAAAAAATATTTGGATAGTTTAATCCATTTAAATTTATAGGTCGAGTGGTATACGGCTAGATTATTTCCTGAATAATTAGTATTGAATTGTTGGCGGCAATCCTATCCAAAGAGTTCTATTTATTATAAAATGTCAGAATATTTCTATCAAAATTCTGTCAAAAAAGGTAAACAAAAATTTAATCGCTGATAAACAAGGTCTTGTGAAATAATCACTTATTTAAACAAAATTCATTCAAAAAATGACGTTGTCTGATGGGTCTATTTTATAATGAATGAAATAATCAATTTTATGTCCGATTGACCTATAAAGTGCTATTTATAGAACAGTTTTGCGTCAATAAAGAAGCACTTTATTGTACTAGTAAAATAAAGTGCTACTTTATTGCCTACCTGGACTACCTGACTAGGTGAAACAGGTCCTGACAACCTGCCAAGGTGAAACAGGTCCTGACAACCTGCCAAGGTGAAACAGGTATACCTACGCGAATTTTACTTTTTTCATTAATTTTTTTAAATTCTTAACAAGAACCAGTCGCGATCGTACATAAAATAATGTATATAACGCTTACATAAACATGCTTTATTGACTCATTATTTAATAGCCTCGCTCGCAAGCTCGCTCGGCCATAAAATTATTCGTACAATAAAGCCTTACTTTATGTACTTGTTATATAAATAGCTATTAAATTTTGACTGATTTTAACTGTAATGTCCAGCTTCGTGTTTTATGTGCCTATATGTATTTGGAATTTTTAGCAGTGACGTTATATTTGGAAGGTATGTTGACTCCCTATAGTTTTAATGTTTATGTAGTTTTTGTTTACGTTATTTTCCTTGTTTCTTTGTTGATTTAATTTTTTTTTCTTCTCGAACTTTCTAAATGTCCACAGATTAGTTTAATTTTTTTTTTTCTCTCAATGTTTTAGTGATTTGATTGATTTTTGTCCTTTCAATTTAAAATAGTCTAAATTTGCTTCGAGTTTTGGGTACTTAATCAATTTTTTATATCTTTCAATTTTCCCTTTGAATTTCTTAATTTTATTACCAATTTCTTATGTAAACCATATTTTTAGCCTGAAGAACACCATAATATATGGTCGAAACGTCGTTGAATAAATAACAACGTCTTTTTTTTGCTGTCCTATTGCTACTCCTTTTCACTGCTGATAAAATAAAATAATGTTTTATAGAGCCATGAGTGACGCAACTATTAAAGAACTAGAGCAGCTTCAAAGCGAAAAGAAAAAGATGCTGCTTGAACACGAAACGCTAAAATTGAAGCAGCGCGAGGAGCAGTTTACAACTGAACTGAAGGAATGGAGAGCCCAATTGAAACCCCGAAAACAGGTAAGTTTTTGAGTTAGTTTTATTTGATTTCATTGTACTAACAAGCTTAACCTAACACATTATGATTTTAAGCAAAACCGCTCATTTTGATTTTATGTAGCATTTATTAATTGGCACACTTTTTACAACTCTATCATCAATGGCAGTAAAGGGAAATTTGCATACATCCTGTATGTTGCACTAAATGCTGAAAAAGCGTATTTGCAAATTCAAATATCTCAATTGTTGATGTAATTTCAAGAATATGCAACTCTTATTTCCCAGTGTTATGGAAAAATAGGAGGCTGGAAAGTCCTCAACAATGAAGCCTACTAATAAAAATTTTGGTGTCCAGTACTGTTATTATTGTGCAAGAAAAATATTCGATAGCAGTTTATCAAAGACTTTGTTTTTGAAAGATATTAAGCTCAAACATGTTTGTCTCCAGTATGGGAGAGGTTAAAATATGTTACCCTATATAGATGTGATTCATTGATCGTCTTGTTATCATCAATATAACAAATAACTTTTATGTTACGATATTTCAGTTTTACTGTATAAGCTTGTTAGTACTGTATTTACATAAGTTATTAACACACACATACACAAACCATCTAGAAACTTGAAGAACAACTCCATCGTGAAGCCTTAGGCAGTAAATACATTCAGTATTTACCTCGGGTACATTTACCAGCACCAGGTAGTTCTTCTGACTATGAAGAAGTCAGTAGACGTATGACAACTACTTCGGTGCCTTCAAGTCCTTTCACAGACCACAGTCGGCCATCTTGGGGTCATCAAAGGACCTGGAGCACTGGGGTTCTTAGTGGGTTTACTACCGAGCGCAGGATTATTGAGGAAAAACATTTCAATTTGGATAAGAACGAAGATTCTGCTGCTTAATATCGAATTTGGTTGATTCTTTGAGGTATCCTGCTGTATTTTCTATTGGTTTGGTACTGCCAGATCATCGTTGGTTGGTTCTTTTGGTAGTAGTCGGCTTGAAAAACATTTTTTTTTTGTGTTTTGTCGATTTTAGGAATTGATTTTGTTGTTGTTATACCTGCTTCTATAGTATATATTATGTTTCAACTGCGACAATTTTTTTATGTTTTCATGCTTTTGTCGAATTTGTCTTTTAGCTATCAAGATCCATTGTGATGTTCATGTGAGCTTTTTTGTGTGGGTGATTGCATCAAGAACAAGTCGTGTGTGTGTGTTTTTTTTTAAATATAAAAATGAAAATTCTTTACAGAAACTAGAAGAAACATTTGCCCAGCAGCTTGAAGAACAAGAAAGAGTTTATGGTCCCATGAATACACCCCTGATACTTCCGTCGGACTTAGCCGACTTGAACATGGACTCTTGCAGCCGAATAGGGCTCAGTTCAACTAGGAGTAGTCTTAGTTCTGTATCTGATTGTTCAGATTTCCGTTAGCTATCTGATATGTTCTGGGAGCAAAAGTGCAACTAAATGGAACATTTTAACTATTTGGTCAGTGTGAATATTTTAAGCAAACTTCAAAAAAGTCCAAACAACTAAAAGATGTATTTTTTATGATGTTTATTTTTTAATTAATAATGGTTTGAACTTTTTTTGAACTTGTTATTATATTTGCCGATATCTCATCCAATAGATGTTGTTATATGAGCAGGATAAGTATCTATTGTGCAATGCAATACCAGAAAGTAATAAATCCGTGCATCTTCCATAAGATTTTGGTGTTTTGTTCCAATATAACCCATAGGATGTTTCATAGTTTCATTGTTCACTAGGTAATAATGTTGATAGCGAATGTGACGCCCGAAAATTGGGTGATAATGTCAATTCTAAATGTATGAAAACATCAGCAGCCCCTTTGTTCCATTTATATTAAAAAAGGCAGATTTTCATGCTGTTGTGTGATAAAATATATTATTCCTGAGCCAATCTTCAAATTGTTTCAGTTGAAAGAGTACATAAAAATATCCAGACTGAGCATATTAGTTGCAGGTATTCCGGAGGTCACTTATTATTTTAATACAAATTGAATATTCGAATAAGTTTCCTCATTTTGCTCCAATGAAATGAGCAAATTTTTCTTAATCCTTTTTGGTTATTTAGGCATAATAATCTAACAATTTGAATCTGTGTAATGCCTAACAAATCTTTGGGATTAATAGCAACATACTTAGCAGCACAAAAATATGCTCATTCTATGGTATCTAAATAGCAACACTTTCTTATTTTGAAGTATCCCAAAACATTTTACCACAGAACATATCCTTTAAATTTGCTAAAGTATAGAAATTGTCCATTTTAAATGTTTTCTTAATATTATAAATATAACCTAGTTAAATTTATATTGATGTACATAGCGAACTCAAAAACTTATTAATATTATTCAAATAAAGTTAATAATTATAATATATTCACTTTTCTTTCTTTAATTCATAAATTGAAAGCAATTAGAGGTTAGTGACAGTGTGATATAACAGAGCATTTTATTCTTGTAAGTTCTTTTTATATGCAGAATGATATCACCCTGTCCTGTATCATATGATATGTACAGTCAATGTATTATTTTATTTTTATGTTATTATTATTATTATTATATTATTATAAATAAAAATGTAAAAAAAATAATTTTTAAGATAATGTGTTTGTTTACCAAGAGAAGTTTTCCTAATTTTGTGGGTTTTCAGCATTGGGGTTTTTACAAATAAAAATCCATGTCCATCAAATATAATTTATTAAAAATATTTATAAAAAATAATATACTTCTCAGTCTTCTTTAAAGTTTCTCATTATCCATTAAAACTGGTTTTAAAAAACAAATTTTCTCACTAAAGTGCGTAATTATCTGTTACCATTGAGAAAGTTTGTATAAAATTATCTACTTAAACTCTATCTGTAAAATTCATAGAAACATTGCCTTTAGGTGACACTAAAAACTCGAATTCTATTTCCATCGGTTTCTCTACACTGATCACAAAGTTCTCAACCATTTTATCTAAAATTACAGGAAGTACTTGTTCTATGAATCTTTTTCCAGGACAAATTCTTTTGCCGTAACCAAAGGGCGTTACCAAAAATGCTGCACTTGCTGATGTTTGGCTCTTTTCTTCATTCAACCATCTAAAAATGATCAATTTATTATAATCCATATTTATATTGATATTGAAAAGGGTTTTTGTTATCGTCGCTAGAAATTTACAATTTGATTGCAAATTTTCATTACACCAATTTTCTCTTATTTTATTTCTTTTTATTTTCAACACACGTGTTGAAAGTAGGTAAATTGTCAATGTCAATCACAAATAATGTCAACAGTATTTTCCAAACGTGTGCTGAAAGATCTAAGGCTGAAAGTACTTTTAGCACGCGTATTGAAAATACTTTCGGCACGCGCGTGATATTTAGTGCTTTCCAAAGCACCAACTAGTGCGGATTTTGCCATTTTCGTATGTGGTTGTAGACTTAAGTGGATGTTGAATAAAGAAATTTGTCTGCAATTATTGTGCTGTTAATTGCAAAGTTCAGGTCACCTAAATACACAGTATATTTTGTCCATGAATATCCTGTCTCATGGGACTTTGTAAGTTATTGGAACGCTTAGATCAATTATTTGTCTGCAATGAGGTGCCAAATCAAAGAAAGGTAACTATGTTTTGGAAAAAGAAAAAGATAATCTTTGGCAAACTGTGAATAGCAAACGCAAGAGGAGAAACCGGTCAATGATTCAACCATCCAGCAGACCAGTTCCAAACAAAGGAACTAAAGACACGCCACAAAATTTAAAAATGGCAGAGAACTACAGCTGGTTGTTTGTTTCTGGCTTTGATCCTGATACCACAATTGAAGAAATCCTAGGTTACATTAAGGACATGGGGCATAACCAGAGATGCGTCTGTGAGAAGATGAAAACTATAAAGGGTAACCAACGAAGCTCATTTAAATTTGGGGTACCCAATTCAATAGCGAACAATATCAACAATGGCTCGTCCTGGCCTAGAGGAGCAATTATTAACCATTTTATTAATCTTCAGAGTCGCCGTCAACAGCCAAGGGTAGGGCTGCATTAAATTTCCTGCAATGTAATGTGTGTTCACTCAGGAACAAAGAAAATGAATTGGAGTTAATTATTCTGGAAGAACGCAATATTCACTTCCTGTGCATCAGTGAGCATAGTATGAGCAAAGAAGAAATACACACTGTCAGGTTGGCTGATTTTAAGCTGGCAGCACAATTAATCCGTGGAGGAGCAGCCATTTTTACAAAATCCATCGTGGACGTTGAAGAAAAAGCTGAAAGTAGAGACCTCTCGGTTGAATAGAATATTGAAATTTGCTCGTTCAAATCCAACATGGCGCCTGCGGGTGGTGATGTTTTAGATACGGACGGGAAAAAATGCAAGTACTGCAAATCCGGTGTTGAAAAAAGTTTTTTGAAGTGCAATTTATGTAATGTTTACTACCACCAATCATGTGCCCTAAGAATCTCGGGGCTAGTAGTCACTAGTGGAAGTAAAAATCTAATTAACTGTGCGACATGTGCCAAGGTCGTACGGGACACGGAGGTAAACAAAGTTGTGAATGAAGCTATTTCCGCCAAAGAAGACGAAATTCTGAACCTAAAATTGCAAATAGAAGTGTACGAGGATGAAAAAGTGAAGTATCTTGAACTTAAAAATGAACTCCAAGGAAAAATCTTCTCACTTGAAAGTATGGTTTCTCCTGCAACCACCCCACCTGTGGAAGCGAAAAGCGACGACAGGGCTCTTGAAACAGAGTTGAGGAGCTTAAGGAGCGAGTATGAAATGTCGAAGAAGTTGCTCGCATCGTTGGAGTACACAGTTGAACTCCAAAAATGCGTAATCTCAACCTTTAAAGGAATAAGTGAGGAAAACATAAACATTGCTTCCATGACCTCTCAAAACAAAGATGACGTCATTGGGGATGCTCGACAAGGGCCAGCAATATTTAGCAACACCGCTAAACCTCCGAAGCAATGGCCAACGCAAATAAGAAATAAACCAAATGTGGCAACCAGGGATGGTAATTCGACCGCACAACAACAGGCAACACTGCCAAGTTGGACAACTCAATCAGCTGAGGCGGCTGTCAATTCCATAGAGGTCAATACCAATTAAATTAATAAAAATAAAAACAAACAAAGAATCGAAATTATCAACTCGAAAACCCTAAACACGGCATTGATGGAAGTTGAAACTCGCAATGCAATGCAAAATATTCAAAAATTATACACGAAAAATGAGGACGATGACCAGTGGCAGGTGCAAAGACGAAAGCGCCGACGATATGTGGTGGGCGATAATGAGACAGAAATACAAGGGGTCCCAAAATCTGTCTCACTACACGTAACTAGGCTTGACCCAAGCACAAAGCCTGAAGACCTGAGAAATATGTTAGCTAAGCACTTTCCCGAGGTAATTTGTGAGCAACATCCATCCAAACATCCCACTCTATATTCCTCTATGAAAGTTACTCTCAGGCAAAATAACTTCCGCAATGCGTGGAAAAGAGAGATATGGCCAAATGGTGCCCTCGTATCTCGGTTTTTTGCCAAGAGGAGGAACCTGTCACAAACAGAGGAGACAGTTCCTCAGAGAAAATGAAAACTAAATCAAATATAAATATAAGTATAAATAAAACTGTTTCGCAATCAAAAAATCCCACTTCCACTTATGTTTCAAGTAACCATTGTCAGGTCTACTACCAAAATGTGCGTGGTCTAAGGACTAAGACTGAAGCTTTTTATACCAACCTGTTGACAATGGATCCCGATATAGTGACACTGACTGAGACTTGGCTATGTGATGGAATTTTCACTCAAGAGCTGATTGATGAGAGGTACACGATGCTAAGAAGAGATAGAAGTACTGCTGCTAGAGGTGGAGGCGTTTTGATCGCTTTCGACAGAAGATTCCCTTATGAAATTATTGATAGTAATGTTGACTGTAATGTTGAATGTATTCTTGTAAGGTTGAAGTTGAAAAAGTATAATGTTATTGTCTCTGTTGTATATTTCCAACCAAACTCTAGTTTGGAAGTCTATAATAGTTTTTTTAATCAATTTGAATGTCTTTTAGATGACGAGCGGACAGGAGTATTGATATTGGGTGATTTTAACCTCCCTTTTTTTGAAATATGTGATAATGGTAAAAACACCTTGCTTACTGAGTTCCTTAATCTCAATAATTTGAGACAGTTGAATAACATTAAAAATTTTAGGGACAGGTGCCTGGACCTGGTTTTGACGAACATGGAGATACCGCAAATCACTAGGTCTGTGCAGCCACTAGTTGCAGAGGACCCCTATCATCCTGCACTTGAATTTGGAGTTCCAACGAAGGATAAGTTGGTAAATTGTATATCCAAACAGTATGTATATGATTTCCCAAAAGGGGATTTTCTACTTCTATACAATCTTGTGAAAACCTGTGATTGGACTGAAGTACTTTCAATTACAGATGTAAATATGAGTCTCAATTTATTTTATAAAAAGGTGTATGGTCTTTTAGATAGAGCTATTCCAAAGAGACAAATCAAACATTCTTCCAGTAAAACCCGTTATCCACGGTGGTATTCCATAGATCTGATTCACAAAGTCAAGGAAAAGAATAAGCTTCATAAGCGTATATTGAGTAAGTGTGCTGATCCATCAGTGCAATTGCACTTTAGTGAATTAAGACAATGCATCAAGCTGCAGACCCAAGCAGAATACAACCTGTACAAGAATAATGTGGAACTTAACCTAAATTCAGATCCCAGTTCATTTTGGCAGTTTTTGCATGAGAAGAGCAAGAATCGAGGGATACCGGGGGAAATGAAATTTAATGAGAAATTGTACTCGGGTTCTGAGGATATAGCGATGGCTTTTGCTCAGCATTTTGAGTCAGTATATGAAAGACCCAAAGATGTAAGTAAATACATGGGGAATGTAAACGGATGTGATTTTAAATTTTCAGATGTGTCAGAGTTGAAAGTTGTAAATAGTATTAAAAGGTTGAAGCCTAAAAAATCGACAGGGCCTGATCAGATCCCTGCCTATATTTATAAAGGATTGCCTGAGTTCATAGCTCTACCGCTCAAACATATTTTCAATCTTTCTATTGGAAGTGGACAATTTCCTGATGCCTTGAAGAATGCTCAGATTACACCTATTTTCAAGAAAGGACGAAAGGACGAAATTAGGAACTATAGACCGATTTGCCTCATTAATATTTTAGCAAAAATTTTTGAAACAATACTTTATGATGATCTTTCAGACTTTCTAAAACCTAAAATTTCTAAATACCAGCATGGATTCTTAAATGATAAGTCAACAATAACAAACCTCTCTATATTCTCGGAAATGGCGGCTGAGGCGATCGCGAATAAGAGCCAGTTGGATGTCATTTACACAGATTGTGAGAAGGCTTTTGACAGGGTGGACCATGAGTTGCTGCTTTGCAAGCTTGCTGAGTTTGGGGTGTCAGAGGATGCTTACCATCTTGTGAGGTCATACCTAATAGGCAGGGTCCAGACAGTGAGGGTCGGCGCTTGCAACTCTGAGGCGTTTGTTGCAACCTCAGGTGTCCCGCAGGGTAGTAAACTGGTCCCTCTTTTCTTTTTGTGTTTCATCAATTCATTGCCTGACTGCCTGAGGGACTCTATGGGACTTCTCTTTGCTGATGACTTCAAGCTCTGTAGGATTGTTGAGCGGCAGGAGGACTGCAGAAGGCTTCAGGGTGACATGGATAGGGTGATGGACTGGTTCAACAACAACAGAATGTCCCTAAATGTTAATAAGTGTTCTGTTGTCAGCTTTACGAGACGAACAAACCCAATAGAAGAAACATACAAGATTGGTGATACTGAGCTTGATCGTCAAACAGAGGTGAAGGATTTGGGTGTCTTTTTCCAGGCCAACATGAAGTTCAATAAGCATTTTCATCATGCTGTCAATAAAGCAGTAAAAGCACTTGGCTTTGTAATCAGGAATAGTAAGAACTTTAAAATAAGTACAATTATTAACTTGTATAATGCTCTGGTGAGACCACACCTTGAATATGCATCACACATTTGGATGCCATTGGAAGCCACGCATATTGATGAAATTGAAAAAGTGCAGAA